GCAGGGCAGTGTGAATGAGGTTGAGGCAGAGGCCAGCTGAGTACAGGGCCAATCACATTGCCAGAGGTTTTGCTCTGGGTTGACAGCCTGCCTGGATGGTGGGGGACAATGGGAACACCTGTGGAGCTCCACAGGTTGGAGGTGCTTAGGATCCCACAGAGCCAAAGATTCCCTTCTTTGGAAGGTTGATTCTTTATCCATTCCCCCAAGCCTTTTGTTCCTCTGTGGCCCCTCTACTCCATGGAGTGAGGCCCCTCATCTGTGCGAGAGAGGCAGCATGGAGGGGTGTGCTTACTGCCCCTCCATCCCCCCTTCTCCCCAGAGGGCCAAGCAGTCAGGAATAGCCACTACCTTTGGGGCCATGGTGCTGAAAGCTGCTATAATTAGCAGGGCTGAGATTGGTCCTCAGGCTCCAGCATGAGCCTCATTCTTGTTTCCAACTGGAAAGAAGACACCTCCCTACCCAAGACAGGAGAACGCTCTGTGCTGCCTGGGGCCACCACCTGCTCTTGGCTCCTTGAGCCTCAGAGCTTCTTCCTGACACATGGGCTTTTCCAAAGCCTGACTCACAGGGCCACTGGCCACAGGGCAATCGTGGTGCCCGGGGCACAGATGTGGCTGATGCAGGGTAGGCTCAAGGTTGGCCTGGAGGAGGGGGTCTTGGTCCAGGCCCTGTACAGAATGCTCCAGTTTCCTGGCCAGGAACCAACCAGAACCAGAAGAAGGAAATCTTTGGCTCTGGGGAGAATTATACAAATTACCTGTCTGGATTCTGTCTTTGAAAATACCCAGATGTTGGTTTACAAATCAGAAAGCTCTCCTGGGGCAATCTCTGTTCCCTCTTTGACTCAGACAGTCCTTTCTGTGAACACTGGAGACCAGGGTTTCACTGTCAGCCTCCTGTCTCGTTCTCCTTAGCAGTGTCACTAAGGCAGAGGGCTGTCCTTCTCTGGGAAGGGCTAAGTGTTGGCAACTAACCACAGCCAACCCAACCAGGTAGGTTGGGGTCTCCTGAGAAGACACCCCCTCGGGAGGGAGCGTCAAAGCTGCTCCTTTGACCCAGGGGAGAGCTCTTTGAGAGCTCAGAGTAATGGCCAGCCTTCTGTGTCTTGGTTCCCACTTCCTGTCCTTCAAGCCTGAGGGAAAGCTGGCTAGCTGCCCTGCACTCTACCCCTACTCATAGTAGCTGTTGCCACCGTCCTAGGCTCCATGCAAGTACGGTCTTAATCCTTCTCAAGGCCACATACCACCCTTCCAGCATCCAGATCCACCCCAATCCTGTACGCACCATGCCAGGTTGGCCACCCAGGCTGAACCAAGATCAGTTTTGGTGTTCTGCCTCCTCCTTGCTTCAGAAAGTGGGTATCTGGGGACACACTTGTTTTCCCCTGGGGTCCTCGCAGAAGAGATTTAGGAAACCCCTGCTCAGAAACCTGACCCTTGGAGTGAGCCCCCTAAGGAGCAGCCTGGTCAGCGGTAACATGTCTCCCCTTGCCGCCTCCTGCCTCAGCTGCATAGACTCGTGGTTTGAAGTGAACAGATCTTGTCCAGAACACCCTGCGGACTGACCCTGCTGGGCTCTCTTGCTGACTCCTCTCAAAGGTGAGCGGTGGTTGGGGGTGCTCTGGGCTCAAGGCTTGGGATCAGGTCACTCTGGGGCCTGTCGGTGGGAGCTGAGTTGCCTTTACACACCCCCAGGAGGGGAGCAGAGGGAGAAGGGAGCACCTTATCAGTTAGTAGTGGTATGGTGGGGGGTGAGGGGGTATTCTGGGAAGGCTAAAAAGATGCAAACTTGCATGGTTTTGAAGAAAAACATGCTCAGTACAGTTGATTCTTTGGGGAAAGACCAGTTTATTCCAGACTTTTAGAGTGAATCTCCCTGAAGAAGGTTCAGGAAGAGCCCCTTGGAATGTGCCAGGTGGGAGGAGCCGTACAAGCTCAGGACTCTGGGCTTGCACCTGCCTTGTGCTTGCTGAGCAGCTAGGGCAGGTCCTCACTCCTCGTCCCCATGTGGACGTCACACTTATTAAACTAGACAGCCTGTGGGGTGGTCCATTGTCTCCTGCAGTACTCAGCAGCAATCATTCCACTGCTGGGCCTCCCTGCCTCAGGCCACCTCCCTCACACCTGCTGCTGGATGGAGCTGAGACCCCCCTAGGCCAGATCCAGCCGCCCACCCCACAGCACAGGTCCTTGGTTCCACAGCAGGCCAGCCAACTGTCTTCCTCCCCAAAATGTGCTCACACATCCCTCAATAGAACTTTCGGCCTGACCTCTCCATTTCTTCCCCAGGGCACCCTGCCTTACTGCTGATCATCCTCTCCTGTCCCCCATCTTACCTGTCCCTTCCAAGTTCTGGGCTCGCACTTCCTTTTTCCTGGGAAACAGACAAAACCCCTAGGGAAACCAAAACCCTGACTCCACCTCCTCTCACATCCAAAGGTTTTGGGGTCTCTGTTCTCTCTCTCTTGTTTTTTTGTTTTTTTCTGTTCTTGTTAGGTTTGTTTTATTTATTCCAAGTAAACTTCCAAAACAGCTGATGATGGCAGACAAATCAGGGACATTTGCTCTTTTTACCTTCACCTCAAGAACTGAGGACATGGGGAGAAGAAACAGTGAGGGTGAGAGTGAGGCAGAGGGAGTGGAGCCTGGCGCTGGAGTGAGTCCAAATTCCCGGCATGATGTTTGCCTTCTCGGGCCCGAACTGAACCACAGGCGCCCAGCTGGGCCTCAGCCGGATACGTGTGGCTAGCTACAGCCCGACAGGAGCACGACTTACGTATTGTGGTCCACACAGGGACAGCCAGCCCTGTTCCTGAGAGGAGGCTTCGGACACTGGGGCAGAGCTGAGCTGGGGACACCAGTGGGAACAGGGCACCCCCTCCGCACTGACTTCCAGAGAATGGTTCTCCCTTTCTCCCTGAGAACACCAAATTGGATGAGCCACGAGTTTGAGAGAAGAAAGAATCAACCGCCCTCCTTTCCCTCACCCCTCATCCCAGGAGGGAAAGGGCATTTTCTTTTTCACCTTTGAAAGGCATTGTGGGTCTGTCTCTAAAGTGTTTACAAAAAAAAAAAAAAAATCATAAAAAAAAGTCTAGTGTCGACTGGTGTTTTCGCCCGTGATGTTTACAGATCGCTGTCTGCTGCCCAGCTAGAACCCACTCAGTGACAGAAACGAACAGAGCCAGGTTCGTGTTCTGATGGCGTGGGAGCACAGTCCTCCTATGCCCGGCGCCCCATCAGTTCGGCCCTCTCCATCACCAACCACTCTGCCTTGGTTTTCTTTGTCCATTTTCCTGGCTTAGTTTTGCACTTTTCTCCCCTTGGGACCCTGAGATCTTGACTTTATTGCCAAAACCAACAACCCATGGAAGATCTTCTTCCCCTCCATTCCCAATTCGTCTCCCTCCTTCCCTCCTGGTTCTGGTCAGTTCAGAGGATTTAACAATCACAAGTGTCCTGCAAAAATGCCTGAACATTCTTCTTAGACCCTTGTGGATTTTTTTCCAGAAAACTTAAACAAAAGACTTATTAAAGGAATATGTACAGCTACCCGTTTTCAGGCACTCTGTTTGAGAACATTTTAGCCATCGATGTTCACACATGGCATCAGCCCATGCAAGATAGGTTTCTGTATTTATATATTAAAATACAAAAAAATAAAACCCTTATAAAATGTTTTAAAAAATGTTCAAAGTTGGGGGAAAGCTTTCTTCATTAGTCAAGATGTTTTGATATGGTATTAAAATAATGTCTAATAAAAGATGCATTGTGTGACTTTATTTTAATGGTGCTGTAACACAGTCAGGAAATAAGCGTTGTACACCCTTTCTCTCACTCCCCCTACGTCCTTAGCCTTCCTTCAAGGTACTACTTGGGACTGCAAGTGTGATGGGGTTCTCAGAGTGGTCATGCCTGGGTAGAGGGAGCATGGCAGGTCAGACCCCAGACCTACAGGTCCACTAACCCTCTCAAGCATCATGGAATCAATCTGCCATCACCTTTGGAGCGGTTGTGACAAAACTCTTCTGCAAGATCTGCAGGGGCAAAGATCTCGCAGCCACTGGAAGCTGCAAGGATGTGGAGTCTTTCAGGTGCTGGCCCAGCGCTCCGCCCCCTGCTCCTCACCCTATGTCCTGCCTGCCTGTTGCTCAGTCCATATCTCAGTGCTGACTCATGGGCATGCTTCATTGAGGCCCAGAGACAGGCCCTGTTTGAGGCTAAGCCAGCTCAGAGCCACTCAGGGTTCACAAGAGTTGGCACGACTCAGGCTGGGCGGGAAGCTCAGGGCAGTGGGTAGCACTGCACACCTGACCTCTTTCCCTGTGCCAGACAGGCTCCCAGAGCAGCATACCAGAGCCTCCTGTAGAGCCTGCGAAGGACAGCTCTGGAGGGAGATGACTCCACACCTTCTCTGCCCTTCTCAGGCCTCCGTGTGCTGTCCCTCTTGGGCTCCAACCCCGCCAGGCCCTGGCTCTGTAGCCGCCTTCTGTCAGACGCTTCCTGAAGCACCTACTCTGCAAGGGTGTTGCAAGCCCGTGGGCACACGTGAGCTAAGGTAGAGGCACACTCAGTATGTTCAGAGAAATACTTGAAGAGTATGTGGGTCAGCCTGGGCCTTGGAGTCAGACCATCCTGAAGCAGAGACCCCAGGACCAGCGATCACCATGGTAGCCAGAACGTGGGCTCGAAATTATCTGCATGTGGCTCCACTTGGCAGAATGATTTTGGGGAAGTGACTTCATTCGTCTAAACTTCAGTTTTCTCGCATGTGGAGTGGGGCAAAGTCATGCAACTCAAAGGTCACCATGAAGGTCAGAGTCTGCCCAGAAGCCCCTGGCACATGCATAGCAGGCTCTCTCGTAGCTTCATCACTGCAAAGAGCATTGTTCTATTCACAGCACTGCCTGCTCTGCCTGGCAACTGTGTCTCCCTGTTCTATATTTAATTCCTCCAGCAAAGCTGGCCTTGAAGGAGATCTCCTTGCCTGACCCCTGGGCCTGCAGGCAGAGGACTGTATGCCCACCTCAGTTGTTTAGGCCTGGTGGCCTTGGCAGCATCCTGGGTGAGCTGAGTGGTCATGAGCCAGGTGGGGTAGGGCTGGAACCCACACCAGGTGCTATTCAGGCTCCTGGAACTGATGCTAACCCCCCTCCCAACTCCCAGCAACTTTCACTCCCACCTGGCACACTTCAGCCCTCTGCTGACTACTGTGTCCTTTGAATTCACACCTGGATTGCCAGCTCCTGGGTGGGGGTAGGACGGGTGTCTGGGCTTCCCAGGTGGAACCTGGTATCTGTCATCTTTCATCCAGACAAGCTCTCAGAGGGGAGGGGATGGGCAGGAGCTGGGAAGTATGTTCCACTTACTCTGGGGGACTGTCTGGACAGGAGTACCTCCCAAGTATAAAATCGTCTAGTAGCATTTAATGTTGTTGAGGTTTTTAGGAGAATGTCTTTATTCTTAGGAGACAGGTGGTGAATTATGTAGGTGAGTGATGTTAAGAAATACGCAAATTCCAAATCGGTTTCTCCAAAATACAGCAAATAAGACAAAAATATTCGGCTTTGAATCTTCAGTGACTGATATGTCAGTGAACAGTACACTTGTTCTTTCAACTCTTCTGTATGTTTGGAATTTTTCCTAATAAAAAATTGTGGGGAAATAGCTATTTGCTGAGCACCTACTAGTTGCCAGGCAGTGGGAGGCATATTAGAGACAAGCCCTGTCCTGTAGGGGAGAAACCTGCTCCTACTGAACGCGCCCTGGGAGGTGGGGTCTAGTGAGCCATCCCTCTGTGGAATTCATGAGGCTGACCTGTATGGGGTGGTTTGGGGAGGGAGCCAATGAGACTTGCCCCACACCGCCCCTTGGCACAGCTACTGCTCCCATCCAAGGCAGCCAGGGGACAGAAAAGTCAGAGGAGCAAAGTCCAGGCTCAACCCAGTGTTAACACAGAGGAAGGGTTCCTGGAACCAAGGAGTCACAGACAGCCGCCTCTGCCCAGGGCCTGAACAGCTGAGGGGAAGAGGTAAGGGGGCTTGAGGGGTGAAGGCAGGGAAGGAACTCTGATGGCTTGAGAGAGAGCGTGAAGTGAGGAGGAGGGTGCCCCTATGTGGCTGGCCAAGCCTGTTTCCTAAGGAGCCAGCGGATGAGGGAGTTGGGCCCATACAATAGGCTCCTGGGACCTTCAGGGGGGAGGAGAGTTTAGACATTGGCTTCCAGGATGCCAGGCCCCTCCCCAACCCTCAGAAGTGGGGGGCTGAGGCTGTAGGCCCTGACTGAGGGGAAAGCTGGGCACCACTGCCCCAACAGATGCTGTGGTGTCTGGGTTTATGGTGGCAGGAGCCCTCTCGTGGGCTTAGGGGGAACAACTGTCAGGTTGTAGCTCTGGCCTGGGATCCCTGGTAGACAGATTCCGACTTTGTGGGCAAACGAACTGTGAGTTATAATCGTACCTTGGAGAGGTGTGGTGTGAGGAGAATAACTTCACTTCCATTTCCAATGATTGGTAGCAGCTGCTTAAAGAACGTTCAGAATGTTCTAAGGCCCAGTTGGGGCTCAGTCTGTCATAAGTGATGTTGGCCATGGGCAAGTCAGCCCTGGGGTTCCTACCAGCAGAGCAGTTGGGATAGGGTTCCTGAAAGTGACCTTCATCTATAGCCTAAGCACCATCCCCTCCCCAGGCTGCAATAAGTCAGACAGGTCTGGAACGAGGGATGGAGGTATCACTGGCCAAATGACCTGGGGGTGGTGGGCAGAAGGCCATTCACAGGTACTGCGGGCTCATCTCCAGGCAGCCGCAAATGGGGTTCAGGTTTATTTGGGGGCCCCAAGGAGAGCTATCAAGGTCCCTTCCCACACCAAGAAAGGAGACCCATGGAGTAGGAATAACGGTTCCAAGTTCCTCAGGCTTTGTCCCAGGCTCCCAGCAATGGGGATGCCTAAATGGAAAGGAGTTACCTTAGTCTTTGGGGTGACCCACACCTCTCCCAGCCAGGACAGGATATGTAAGAGAGCAGAGAGGAAGCAGCTTCACCAGGAATGAACCTGAGCCATTTACTAGACCAAAGGCTTCAAGGGACAGCAAGAGGGCCAGGGAGGAGCCAGGCCTTCAGGCTTCTCTCCCCTCCTCTGGCCTTATCTGGGACTCCAGATAAGAGGCAAAGGCTGAGCTATTCTGTGGCAGAAGAAAGAGTCCAGACAGGATGTTCTATTGTCTGAGGGCTTCTGGGCCAAGTGCTTGGAGCCCCTCACAGCACCTTCCCTGGGTTCATGAGGCCTTTGGGATCCAGTGTGGCCTTGAGCTGCCGCATGGTCTCTATGCCCACATTACCCACTTCCTCCTGCAGCAGCTGCCGCTTGCCCAGCCCAATGCCATGTTCCCCAGTGCACGTCCCATGGAGTGCCAGTGCCCGCCTGGAAAGCAGTGAAGAGACCATCAGCGGGGTGCTCTTCCTGCTCCCTTCAGTCTCCCCGCCTCCCTGGCCCGCCTTTGCTCATACCTGCCCAGCTGTTGTGCAAAGGCCTGAGCCCTGCGGCGCTCCTCAGCATCCTCTGGGTCTACCACCAGGACGCAGTGGAAGTTGCCATCTCCCACGTGTCCAACAATGGATCCTGGGGGCCCAGAGGACTGAGCTGCTGCCCCCAGCCTAGCCTTCCACCCTCTCCTCCCCTACCCCAGCAGTGGGCAGGCAGAACCTGTGAGCCCTGAGGCCTTCAGGTCCTCCTTGGTCTGCACCAGGATCTCCGGCAGCCGAGAGATGGGCACACAAACGTCAGTAGCATAGCCCTGGGACAGGAAGCGGGCCTATGAGGTTCTCCCCTCACCCCCTGCCTGCCTGGAGCTAAGGGGTCACTATAGTCAAGGTCTGAGGGGGCTTTGCCTCTCACACGTAAACTTGCCTCTCTCCCCTAGGTCTCAGTTTCCCCTGCACAAGGTGATGGCTGGGGTGTGTTCTCCAGGCACTGCCAGTAGAGGCTTCCACAGCTCTCTCCTTGCTCCCCACCCTTGATGGTGTCACTCCCTCCTGCACCCCCTGCCCTATGCCCACTGCCTGGCTTAATGCATAGGCTTCCTCCTGAGGGTTTAGCAGACTGTTTTTCCTCTAGAGAGTGAGAAGCAGCTAGGTGGGGGCAGTCCTACCTGCTGTGGGCCTCAGTCTGCTGCTCTGGACACCAGGGTAGTGGGCTGAGCCATGGGTCCCACTTCCCCCCAGCCCCACTCACCTTGCAGCCCGGCCGCAGGGCCAGGGCTGCGTACCAGGCATTGTGCCGAGCATCCCAGAGCTGGTTGCGCTCCTCAGCCTCCTTGGCCCAGGAGAAGTGGAAGGCTCCATTGTACCGGGTGATCTCCTCTGCAGGGGGTGGGGGAGTTGACACCGGGCCCTACTCTGGGCAGCCCATGCCCCCCTGCCCCACAGCACCCAGCATACCTGCCTGCTGCAGCTGCTCTTCCAGCACTTGCTTGGAGCCATGGAACTCGAGGAAGAGCGTGGGTGCCACGGAGCAGTTCATTTTACTGTACCTGTTGCAGGCGTCTATCATGACCTCATCCAGGAACTCTTGGGACCAAGGAGAGGGCAGGTGAGGTGAGGGCTGGTCTTCAAAGGGGGCCTCTTCTAGGGAGCCTACCTGGACCACCCAGTTCTCAGCTCACCAATGCGGGCCACGGGCACTGCAGCCTGGAGGATGTGTACAGTGCTATCCACAGCTGCCTGGACACTGGGGAACGCACAGGTGGCGGCCACCGTGGCCTCAGGGGCAGGATGCAGGCGCAGGGTGGCGGCTGTGATGAGGCCCAGTGTCCCCTCAGAGCCCACAAAGAGCCCTGTGAGGTTGTAGCCAGCTGCGCTCTTCCTGGGCCCCAGAGACACACAAGGAAGGTAAGTGCCCAGGCCACGTGACAATGAATTTCTAGTCAGAAGCCTGGAGCTAGAAGCTGGGGCACTGTCCCCCAGGCCCCTGTGAGGTGGGATGCTGAGCCTGAGGTTTGGGCTGCCCCCTCCACCCAGACCACCCAGGTGTTCCCTGGCACAGACCCTGTTGGCCTCATGCAAGAGAACAAACCCCAGTACCATCAGCTTTGTCCCATGTGACAGTTTCAGAAGCCTGGCCCGCCTATGGAGGAGGCCCCAATCTCTGCGGGTAGAGGGTGCTCACCGGAAATGACGGCCCTTGCCCGCAGTGTGAAGCAGCTCCCCACCAGGCAGCACTACTTCCAGATTCAGCACATTGTCCCGAATGGTGCCATAGCGCACAGCATTTGTGCCTGAGGCCCCAGTGGCTGCCATGCCACAGAGAGAGGCGTCTGCACCTGGGTCTGGAGAGCAGAGGGCAGGCAGAAGGAAACCTGGGGCAGGCCCTCAGGGGTAGAGGGGTCCCCTCAAGCCCCAGAAACCCCTGCCTCCAGGGAGCCCTCAGGGCCTCAGGGAAGGGCCTCGAGTCCCAGCCTACCCACAGGAAACCAGAGGCCACTGTCCCGTAGGTGGGTGTTGAGCGCTTTGCGGGTAACACCGGGCTCCACCACCACAGAGAAGTCTTCTCGATTCAGCTCCAGGATTCGGTCCATGTGGGTCAGATTGATGCAGACACCACCCTGGCAGGAGGGGAGACAAGGGGCCAGCTGACCTAGTTTTTCTGCCAGGCCACAGCCCCCAAGACTCCACTTTGAAGCTGACCTCCCAGCAGCGAGACCAGAGCCTCAGAATGGCAGGTAAGAAGGATTGGACCTGAGCAACCAAGATGTGTATGGTAGAGGGGGTACCACAAATGTGACAAGTGTGATGGGACCAGAGCCTGGCCTGGGAGGGGCCACCATACCTGCACAGCACAGACTCCACCTTCAAGCCCAGTGCCTGTGCCAAAGGGGATGATGGGCACGCCTTGGCTGTAGCACAGGGCAGCCAGCCGGCTGACCTGCTCTACATTCTGGGGCCATACCACGGCGTCCGGAGGTTGGCACCTAGAACCAGACCCTTAGCAGTTTAGGGGGGCATGGGACTCTCTGGTCCTGCTCACGTTTCCAGGATCCCCAAGGTATTACAGGGCATGGGGCTGAGGTATGGAGGAAAGGATGCCAGAGTACCCCAAAACAGATAGGTGGGGAAGAAGCCAGCCCAGAACCCTCACTTCTGGCCAGGAGCTCTGACAGAGGAGGGGACCCCCCCCCCCGACACCTGTACATCGACTCATCGTGCCCATGTTGTTGTAGGACTGCAGCAGCAGTAGACACGTGGGGGCTGCCCACAACTGCCTTCAGAGTCTCCACAAAGTCCTTGCTGAGTTTGCCCTGCAGGGAAGAAACAGGTTGCCAGGGTCACTCAAGACACCCGGGGCCACAGGCCTGCCCCTGTGATAGGTGTGAGGGGTGGGGGCTGGAGTGGGAGGTGCTGCCAGCATCTCTGGCCTTCTCTGCCCCACTCCCCACTGATACCACCTCCAAGGCCCAGGCCTTGCCAGTGGACCTACCAGAAGCAGACCCACTCTGCAGGTATGCCCCTTTCCAAACAGAACCACAAGGGTCCATGTTTCACTTCAGAAAAACTGCCACTGGATAAAAATAAGAACCAGATTCACTCTACAGAAAGGGGCATCAAAAAGGTTCCATCACATAGCCAGGCCTGCCTTAGTGACTTGGAAAGGTTACTCATCTCTGCCCCTTCTCTGAGGCCAGCCAGGCACTGCTCTAAGCACACCAGGGACACAGAGCTGGATAGAGGAAAGACAGGAAGAAAAAGCTCCGTTGCCCACCAGTTACAGTGCTCCCACCACCCCCTCTGCCTCTCCTGGGGGCTTGTAGGGGTCTTGGACCCCTTCTGGGGATGGCTTCCCATTTTACAGAGAATGGAGGCCAGCAAGTCAAGGACAGAGCCTGGCCTAGAACCCAAGTCCTTGCCTCCCAGGAACTCTTTCAAAAGATATGTGAACATTCGGGTGCAGCCCACAAAACTTTCATTTGGCACCTCTGAACCCCATTCATGACAGCTGTGGGAGCCTTGGCCGTCTCACTCAACACCCACACTTTACATAAGGTGAGCCCATTGATCCTCTGCTCAAGGTCAACTGGTGCTGGGGCGGCAGAGCCTGGTGGGAACTTGGCATGGGGGGGAGCCCACCCTCCAGGGGGCTTCGTCTGCCTACCTGCCTTACCCTGGAGCAGTAGCCCCTCCAGGGAAACAGCCTCCAGGTCGCAGTAGCCCGCAGCAGACTGGCCATAGCTGAGCAGTGACTAGAAAGTCATGGGCACTTAAGCTGGGTAGCTACACCGAGCCCACTGGCTGTGCTCAGGGTGGAGCCTGCTTAAGGTGGCACTCCTTAAGGTGGCCCTGCCAGACCTTGCTGAGCCAGGTATGTCTGCCAGGATCAGTACTTTAAAAGGAGAGCTGAGGCCCTGGCCTATGTGGCTCAGTGGTTAGAGTGTTGGCCAGCGCACAGAAGGGTCACAGGCTCAATTTCCAGTCAAGGGCACGTACCTGGGTTGCAGGTTCCATCCCAGGCCCAGGTAGGGGCTCGTGCAGGAGACCGCCAATCAATGTGTCTCACATGGATGTTTCTCTCTCTCTCTCTCTCTCTCTTTCTGTCTCTCTCTCCGTCCCTCCCTCCCTTCCACTCTCTAAAAAGCAATGGAAAAAATATATCCTCAGGTGAGGATTTAAAAAAAAGGAGAGGTGAGACTTACCTAATACAAAGGAAAGCAAAATAGCAGGGCTTCCTGTTGTTCTTCAAACAAAGGCAGACTCCTTGCCATGGCCTTAAAGGTCCTGCCAGTTCCTGCTTACCTCTCCATCTATCCCACTTCCTTCCGGCCTCCTCTTTGGTCTCCAAGCTCCAGCTTCATTTTCCCTTCCTGTATACCCCTAGCTCCAGCAAGGCTCAGAGCCTTGGCCATACTATTGTCTTTCTCACCCTGCAAGTCTCAGCTCCAGCATCAGAGAGTAGGTGAAATCAAGGTTGTGAAGAGGAAAAGTGCAGGGGATGAAATGGAGTAGGGCAGTGAGGCAATCCTGGAAGCCTCCCTGGAAGAGGAAAGCTAAGGATGAGTGGCAGTTCACCAGATAAGTGAAGGAAAAGACTGTTGCATCCCTTTCATCTCCACCCTCCCACTGGGGAGATCCTGGACCATCTTGGAGTGATATTGCTTCTGCTCTTGAAGGTATTTCCAGCTCAGTTTTCCTCCCACAGCAAATTTAAAGGAGCATGTTGCTAGCATTATTGAGATAAAGCTCTTCCTAGCTTTGTTTTTCTTCCTAATCGAATCAGGAATACAAGCATCTACTTAGGCCCTTCTCCCCAACCATCTTCAAATGAGTTCACATTTCTATTCTCAATGTGTTGCTTAACTGGCGTGTTTCAAAAAATGCCTTTTTCATTGTTGGTTAGTTAAGATCACAATCCAGTGAAAGCCCACAAAATGCATTTGTTTAATGTGCCTCATAAATCTTTTTCAATCTGCAACAGTTTCCCTCTCGCCTTTTTTCCCCCATGCCATTTATTTGTTAAAGAAACTGGGTCACTTGTTCTGTAGAATTTTCCACATTCCATTTTTGGATGATTGCATCCTTGTGGTATTGTTTCATATATTTCTCTAATCTTGTATTTCTTATAAACTGTTAGACCTAGATGTGGTGCTGTCCAATACAATTTTCTGTGCTGATGGAAATCTTCTATATCTGTGCTTCCCAATATGGTAGCCACTCGCCACGGGTAGCTAATGATATTGAAGCTATCTATGGCCCAGCCGGTGTGGCTCAGTGGTTGAGCATTGACCTATGAACCAGGAGGTCTCAGTTCGATTCCGGGTCAGGGTATATGCCCAGGTTGTAGGCTCGATCCCCAGTAGGGGGCATGCAAGAAGCAGCTGATCTATGACTCTCTTGTCATTGATGTGTGTGTGTCTCTCTCTCCCTCTCCCTTCTTCTCTCTGAAATCAATAAAAACATTTTTATTCTATGGTTGGGGAAGAGATGCCAGGTAGAGTGTGTAGCAAATCCTAAAAGAATCACCATGTAGATCCCTAATATTCTGGAGCTGGGCCATGAGATCTGCAACAGAGAGCTGTTATACGCTATTCAAGATACTGCCCCTGGCCTACTACTAGGTCCTGGTTAAGATGGTGAATGTGACCCCAAGACCTCAAGTGACCATGTAGCCAAAGCTGGCCATGATGAGCTATATCCTATCAGACCTACCAAGTAGTAAAGTCAGGTAGGTCCAAAACAATCTATTACAGTTGAAAGGGGAACAAACAAAATGGGCCACAGGCAGAACCAGAGGGCAAAGTAAGCCACTTGATTAGGCGGCCCAGATGCCCATGTCACCCACCGTTGCTTGGCCAGTACTTCTCCCTCAGCTCATGCCTACAGCTTGATTCATGAATGAGTTGGCTCAATATGAGGATATAAGCTGAAAATGGACCGATGCTGCACTATAGCCGTACTTAGGGGTAACCTTGAAATCCTCCCAATTGGCAGAGCTCCAGGTCATACACCTGATCATCCCCTTTTGTAGAAAGAAAAATGGTCCAACAGAAGAAAATATATGGGCCCATGGGCAATGGTGAGTGGCTTGGCTGGTTGGTCAGGGGCCTATGAGGGGAAAGATGATAAAATTAGGGTCAAGGAGGTTTGGGAAGAGGCATGTCGTTGGAGCTATAGGAGTAGGTACAAAGTGAGATCTTTATATCACATTAATACCCACCAGAGAGCATCTACCATGCAAGAGACTAAATGAAGTAGAAAGCGGGATTCGGCCAGTTGTCATTGGCCAAGCTCTGTCAACACCCACCTCAATGCTGGCATAGTAATAGTAGCCATAGAGGCTAATAATGGGCCCACCAGCATGGGCACCCACTCACTGAGGCTGATCAAGCTATTGCCACTACTGTGGGTCTACCCTACTGTAACACTGAATCCCCAACATGGTACCATTCCTGAGGAAGACCAGCCTGGAAGACCAGCTTGTCACCTGGTAACAAGTTGATTACATTCTGAAATAATACAACGCATATTATGACTATAGGTCTGCCCCTCCTGCCTGCATGGCCTCAGCCATCCCCTCTGTCTGAAGGCTCACAGTGTTTGATCCATCAACACAGGATAGCACATAACATCACTTCAGGCCAAGTGACTCACTTTTTAACAAAGGGGTGTAGTGGTGGGTTTCACTCCCGACCATGGGATTCACTAATCCTAACGTCTACCTCACCATCCAGAGCCATCCACCTCACAGAACAATAGAAGGAATGGCCTTTGGAAGGTGCAGCAAAGGCACCAGCTTAGAGATGCATCTTGTCGCTGCAGTGCCAGAAGAGGAAAACTTTTTTTATATGAATAACAGATAAAGGGTGAGTATCCATATTATTTTTAACTTTCTATTTTGAAATGATTTTATACTTACAGAAAAATTGCAAAAATAGTAGAGAGGATTCCTATATACTTTTCACTTAATTTGAACTAATGTTGATGTTGTAGATAACAGTAATATCAAAACTAAGAACTAGCCAGGTACCTTATTCGGTTGGAGCATTGTCCCGATACACCAAGGTTGTGGTCTGGTACCTGGTCAGGGCACATACAAGAGTAAATAAGTGGAACAACAAATTGATGCCTCTCTCCAATCTCTCTCTCCCCAAATCAATCAATCAATCAATCAATCAATCAATCAATCAATCAATTTTTTTTAAAAGTTTAAAAAAAAACTGGTAAAATTGGTACAGTTAGGGAATTGGTATACTAAACTACAAATTGGATTTCACCACTTTTCCCACTGACATACTCTTGTTTTGGGAGGTGTTTGTTTTGTCCAGGGTGTAGTAACTTCTCACACTGCATTTAGTTGTCTTTGTCTCCTGCAGTCTGCAACAGCTCCTCAGTCTTTCCTTGACTTTCTGACCTGGACATTTTCAGTACTATCAGTCCCTTTATAGAATGTTTCTCAATTTGGGTTGTCCTGATTTTTTCTCATGAGATTGAGGACTTGTGTTTTTGGCAAGAATACTGAAGAAGTGATATGCCCTTCTCAATATATCGTATCAGCAGTATAAGATGTTGCTGTGTCTTATTATTGTGACGTGAACCTTGATCACTTTGTTTAGGTGGTGTCTGTGGGGTTTCTGCACTGTCTGGTTACTAGTTTTCTCTTTGAATTTAATAAATATATTGGGAGAGATACTTTAAGACCATAAGACTGTGGCCAAAGCAAGTCACCAGGCCAGCCCCAGTTGAAGAGATGGGGAAATAGACTGCACCTTCTGATAAAAAATCTTGCAAAGTCATGTTGCGAGAGCGTGGAGACAGGTGGGCCATTCATTGGAGCCACTTCTTTTTGTAAGGAACTCCAAATCCCACTGAGGTATCAAGTACTTCTGATACAGGATTAAGCTTCCCTCATGCTGTTTGGCAAATGCGACCAACAGTTGGACACAAAGAAATGATTGTGTGTAAGGGAGGAGAAGGTAATTATTACCTCAATGTTCTTCAGTATTGCTTTTCTAGGAAAACAAAACAAAACAAAATACACAGAGAGTTTCTCATGTAGGTCATTATGCAGTAAAAGGTTAACTAAACAAGTCTGGGCTGTCTAAACCCTATACCTTATGAAGAAAGGTTTAACTGTTGTGCAGCTCTTGGGAAGTTATCTCTAAACTCTTGGAGTATCCTGCCTAATAAGAGTGTCTGTCTTTACCTGGAGGCCTTGGATCAGCCAGATAGACCGTGCTAACAATGTGATTTATGCTGGGGGCCTTGGTCCACATGGTATCAGCTTGGCTTCTGCTGGGTCTGGAGACTTAAAATGAGCGGTATACGTCAGACATACCTATATGACCAAGCCCCAGTAGAAACCCTGGACACCAAGGCTTTGGCGAGCTTCTGGTCAGCAATACTTCGTATGTGTTGTCACACATCATCGCTAGGAAAGTTAAGAACAGCCTGCATGACTCTGCTGAGAGAGGACAACTGGATTTTGTGTCTGGTGTCTCCAGGACCGTGGCCTTTGTGCCTTTTTCCATTGTGACTTTAGTCTGTATCATTTCACTGCAATAGACTGTAACCAGGAGTATAACATCTTGCTGAGTTCTGCTAGTCCTTCTACAGAATAATCAAACCTGAGCATGGTCTTAGGGACACCTGGACAGTCATATTATCATTTTGAAACCATCAACAGATTGTCTTTGTCAGAATTAAAGCTTGTTGACTTCTCCAGACTTTACTTTTTCTGTTCTTAAACAGGTATTTGG